TATTCATAAAAACTGAGGTCTTTGATTCAGATCTTTGTGTCCTCCTCGCCCAAACCAGCCTCACAGGACTTGTAAGATCTCATAAGGTCACAGTGTCAATGTGGTCATTGCACATCTGTGCAATCTGCCAAGGCTTGAGACAAAAAGAACACTCCACTTGTCACAGGTGTCACAGGTGTCACAGCTGGAATTTCCAGAGTCCTCTGTGCTGGCACAGAGCCCACGTGCTCTGTAGGTGGTTACTTTGATCTCTTGCGTTCCCAGAATAGCAGCAAATCTCCTGTGAACTTAGTAACAAGTGTCTTCAAAAATGCCTCTCCTTTTCACTTTTGGATAAAATCCATTAGCAGTGGTCAGCCTTGAGATCTTCCTAAACCCAGGCTGTGTGTTGGCAGCTGAGGTGTGTGTGCTTCACCTACTGACCTTTACCAAGGCGTTTTCTATGCCAAAAAGCAAAAGCTATTTCTGCACTTTAAATAGCTTTTTTTAAAAAATACTGTTCAATAAATCAGCTCTAGAGAATAAAATGGCAAGAATCTGCCATTGAATAACAGAGCGACCTTTCATCTGCTAGACACCTCTTTTAAGAATTTGAACTAGGCCTATAAAATCCAGCTGTGGTTCTGTGGGGACCTGGTCATAGTCTGGGAGCTTCTGCTTGAGCCATGGGAAGGCCATTCTGCAGCTCTGCCTTGCATTTCTGGGGGAGAACCCATTCTCAGTGAGGAAATTGGTGTGCAGCCACTGCAGGCATTCCTGCTCTTCCTCCCCCAGCGCCCTCTCCACATTCAGCCAGTGCAGGGAGCAGGAATGCCCTGAGCTGGGGGGTTCTCTTAACACAAATACTCACAAATGAAGACCAGCCACCGTCATCCTGAGCATACCCTGTGTGAAGAAGCACAACCACACATTGCTGAGACAGCTCTGCCAAAGATGTAATAACACAACACAAAGAACCAACAAATGCCAGGTGAGTCGTGCCCCTCAATCCTGTGCCACGGGAACAGGCTGTTCTTTCAGAGGCAGGCTGGCAGCCACGGAGGGCACTGTGAATAACATCCTGATGCAAACCTGAGATAAAGCTGCCCTGGTACGACATGATCTGGGTGCTGGCACTTCAAGTTTGTCCCACTTCCAGTTTYAAAYATAATTTGAAACAAAATGTTTTCAGAATCAGCYCWGRCTTCTTAYSYCTTTAARACTATTTTAGCTTAATAACAGAAGTTTTGGGKTTTTTTTTTMATTTCAGCTTCCCTCTCTAATACAGTGCTGCTAGGAGGAAGGGCAGGGGGCAGAGATGTTGGAACAGAAATATATAGGCACTGATAGAATGTATTGGGTTAAAGAAAGACATTTTGGGAATTCTCATGTAAAAGTCTCTGCTCTTGCCTTCCTTCACCATCTTTTCTCGTTTAAAGCACTTTTTCTTATTTATTGTTCTGCATCTACTCTTTTTGGTTTTGAAACTTCTTTATACTCTCATATTTTCATTTATTGTTTTGGATTTTTGGTTCCTAACCCCACTCCCATCAGCTGACTCTGCCCTGCAAGTATTAATTTAACATTTTAATATTTTTAACCACATTTTATTGTAGAGAGTCTATCTGCCAGTATATGCTTACCTGGGTTTTCATGAGATTTTTGTGGTTGGGCCCTGAAATAAAGATACAAAAAATAAATTACGTCTGTTAAATGTTTACTGCTTCTATTGCAAATGAAGGCAATAATTAACTGTTACAGTAGAATGAAGTTTACCCAGATGTGTTTATCTCTGCTCAAAATGCCAAAAACATATTAGTTGATATTTCACATAGAGGATTCTAACAAAATCTAAACTTTTTCAAAAAGAAATTAAGTCAGAGAAGTCAAATGCTTTGAACCAAGGGGATTCTGCAAATATATTTACCAGTCCTGAAAACAGAAACTTTTTTTGCTAATTCAGATCAAGCTGTTGTTCAAAGTCAAATTCATAAATATTTGAAAGGTTAAAAATATTTTTATGGTTTTCAATTCCAGTTTTGGATTCTTATTAATGGAAAGGTGTAAAATCATGTTCTCAGATGATACAAAATGATGTTATGTAGACTGGACTCAGTTCTCATTGTGTAGGAAGATAAATTGTTCTTTTCTCATATAATGCTCTTGCAATTTTTGCTGTTTTTCTATTGCAAATATTATATTCAATGTCAAATCATTAAGAATTAAAAAGTCTAATAATGTATCAATCTGTGGAATGCATTAATGATGATTTATAAATAATGTATGCCTAGGCTTCATTGGCTTCATAGCCTTCCTTAAACTGATGTGCTCAGGTGGAAAATTGCATGAAAAGTGCAAATGTTACTTGGTTCTGGACATGGCAGAGGTATCTGGGGTGTTCATGGGCTCAGGCTTTGCTATTCTTATCAGATGACATTAATGAAACAGAACTGTTTTATACACTTTCCAGGCTGTACTTCTGATCCAGGCATTATGGTGAAATGAAAAACAGGCCAGAAAAGATGTATCTGGAAGATTTGAAAAAGAAAGCTGAGTTGTTTTACTCACCATCTTGGAAGGAAAGAGAGTCTCCCTTCATTTTTGCTTATTTCTTGGCTTAATTTACTCACAATTCTATTGAAAAGAAAAACAAAAATAGTTAAAAAAAACCCTTGAATTTTTTATCAAAGCAGCTAAGTCATTTTCTTAGCTGTTATCCCTCATTATTTGCTAAATTTAATCTGGTAACTCAAGATTATTATTTACTATGTGATAAGAACACTGAATTTACCATCTTAGTGCTGAGTTGCACTATAGCACATCCAATTCCAAACTAGACYTTTTTTACCWAGGTAAAACYCKGTGCTGTTGRATCAYGTTTAAAAGTAAACATTAAATCCAGCCTTAGAATCTTTGGGTGTTGTAGACATCACGCTGCTTCAAATAAGGCTAGGGTGTTTTGCATGGAAAAAGCAAATAATTCTTCAGGAAACAGGGTTTATGGTTGCAAAAGCAGGGATTAAATGTTTCCTAAGTCTCTTCTCTGGTTTTTTTTGTGTTCCTTCTTCTGCAACCAAGCCACACCTCATCCCAAATCCCTCCACCAGAGGGAAGGGGAAGGCTGATCTTGTTCCATGTCTTAAGATGTTTGCAGGGCATGGCAGAAATATTCATGGAATATAAAGGCTGTCATTTTATGCCTGAACAGATTTTTCCAAGTGGATGGCAGTCAGTACTGAGATTCACAGGGTTCATTTTACTGAGAGACCACAATTCTGCTCTGCTACTAATTAAGTTTGCATCCATGATTATTTTGCTTCAAAGAAAACTTATGTTGAGCCATGGTCTGATTCTAAATTGTCATTATTTCTTACTGAGGAACATCCAACTGAGAAAGTCCTGTGGCAAACAGAGCAAAGTGTTTGCATACACCCAGTTAAAAATATTCCATTTTACTTCCAGATTATATTATTTACATCTATAAGAGACAGTAATTGTGGAAAAAGAAAAATCAGGAACTTAATGTATCTGTTTTTCTCAGATTCTAAATTTTGTAAAATCTAAACTTGATTATTTGTGAATGTAGAATTCTTCCCCACACAGATTGAGTCAATCAATATTGTAAGATTATTTGCTTAATGCCATGCAGTCACTACTCTGTTTTATTTTTCTTCTCCTTTCATGTCTTTTTCTGCTACTCAGCAATAACAATCCCCTAGTTTTTTCCAAATGACTTAGTTAATCATCTTTCATGTCTAACTGCTCGTCTGAGCTGGCACTGGAGGAAGACAGGTTTTCCAGCAATCTGATACTAAAAACAAGCCAACAAAACCAAGTGATTTCAGATCAGAGTGATAGTGCTGTCTGAAAAGGATGAAGATGAGTGGGGTGAAGTTAAGGATATGCACCCAGGATCTATGTATGAAAAAAAAAAGAAATACAGAGAAAGAATATTGGTTAGATTTTCTTGTTTAAGGTGGTATTTTGCCATTTTGTGGTTCGAGGCCAGTATTGTCACGCTTGCCCCTTTTTGAAATGAGCACATGCACAAGTGTTAACAATTTCAGAAGGATCACAGCTGTCTGAATCTGACATTGTCCCCAAGGAAGTTGGATAAAGCAAGAGAAGTGCCAAGTTACAGGCAGAGGAGTCCTCTTGCTCTTATTTCCCAAAGAACAAACCCTGTTCTGTCAAGAAATTTCCTTTTGCTGCAGGCGATAAGGAACTTGCTGTGTGAATAAATTCCATGTGAGACATCAGGGAAGGACCTGGGGTAAGCAGTGCCCTGCACACATCAATGCTTTGGTCAAGAAGTGGATTATGAAATTTGTGGTTTATTCCCTGTTGTAGAAGAGGTAGAGAATCTTCCAGAATATCTTGGAGTTTTTTCAGCTGAAGAAGTAAAATGACGTTCACTGGGTTTGGAGCTAATAATTTTTAATTTTTTTTTTAATTTCAGACTGCCCTGGGTATGAATGAAACCTGAGTGTTTGGAAGCTTTTTGGACTAAACCTGGGCTGGCTGCTATGAGGATTTACACCAGCTGGTTTTTGAGGAAAAACTGACAGGAAAAAGTTGAACCATCTTATCCTGCTGCCAGAAAATTAATCATTTGATACTTCAAATACAGTATCTAATCTTTACTCCTGGTTTATTTTAAATCCTTCAAACCAATGGCTCAGAGGGTTTATTAGAAGAAAGCAAATTTTAGGAGGGTCACGCTTTACAAGCAGAGTTCTTAGGGAAGGTTGGTGCTCTGAGCAGCTGAGCCCGTCACCATGTGAGGAAGGAAGTGCCAAAACCACACAGCTCTCTGAGCTGTGGGAGTGGATGATAGGAGAGGATAAGGCAACAGCACTTGCAGAAAAACTTACTCAGACTTCTCTTTCTCTTTCTACCTCCTCCACCAGTTGCTAAACTTAAAACTGGCAGGAAGTTGAAATTTTTAAAAACCCACACATCCAGCCCTCAAAGCAGGACTCCAAAACTGGCTTTTGTTCTCTTAACTGCAGATACTGTTGACATGAGCAGAATCCACTCTACATGTTTTGGGATCAAGGGTTTAAATGGGTAAGGGAGGTGGAATACAAATTCCTCTAGGGCCAGGAGCTGCACAGTTGCATATTGAGCACTGTCAGAAGCATTGGTGATCAAACTCTTTGGTTTGGCCTTTGAGAAGAATCTGCTGGGCAGATGCAATGTTGTTTTATTGACTTCAAAACTGACTGAAATACAGTTAAGTTCCAGGTCTTGCAACAATCTTTCGATCCCACTGAGAGGATGTGTGCACACACACTGACATCTGCCCAAGGCTTACCTTCTCAACAGAGAAAGCACAGATTTCTCAAATTTTAGGTTTCCACTTTTACTGTTCTGAAAGTAGAACAACTTTCAGAGTGTGCAGTTTGCAGGCTCAGGCTGTGTCATTTACTGAGCTGGCACATGCAGTGAGTGCAATGATCAGCTTTCTATGACTGGAAATTTCCACCAGTGCTATGGGATGCACTTTGGAGTGCTCAGGGATAAGCCCAAAGCTTTCTGAAAAAGGCTGCAAATTTCAAATCTCAGCTTTGCCAGGAACCTGCCACTGGAATAGCCAGAAGGATCAACAGCCTACTGAAAACTTGGAAACCTTTTCTGTCAAGGTAATATTTGTCACACAATAGGAATGACAAAGACTTATTTCAGTGTTAATACCATGGTTCAGGTACCAACCAACCACCAGCATTATTTTAAATGAAATCTTTGCTTTTTCTTTATTAATTCTGACCATAGTAAGGCAAATGCTGTTGAATGTGCTTTAAAATATTTTGCAAGACTCAACTTTGTTCTCTACAAGTATAAAACCTTATGATCATCTTTGACTGCCAGTAGTGCTAATGACCAATTGGAAAACTCTGTCTCTTAAGCTGTATGTTGGCTTCTTGTTTCATTAGATTTATCTCAAAAATGTTAGTAACACCCTCATGATTAGGTCTGAGTTTCATTTAACACTTAGCACATATGGTCAGTGTGTGCTTTGTATAAAACAGACCAAGTCCCTTCCCAGTTTCACCAGTGTATCTCTTTCAGGACACAGTGTTTTGTTTGTGAGGATTCAGGTGTACATCTAAACACAGTGGTATTAATATTAACTTTTCAGCAAAGTTTTCCAGAAATAGTTGAGCTCTTTCAATGAAGAATGCTAAAGATTTTAAGAAGTATTTTAATTTTTGAAATAGTGTTTAAATCTTGTTGTTGTTGTTGTTGTTTTTAAAAAGAAGCCACAAGTTCTATGAAGAGTTGCACCTGTAATAGGGCTGGGGGAATCAATATTCAAAATAATAATTCTATTAGTAATAGAGGAAGGTTGTGGAGTTTTATAAATAGATTCAGGAAATGACCTGTCATACCTTGTAATGACAACTGTGACCTACTTTGACCCTTGAAAAGTCACACAATCATCCCCAAATAATGGCACAGTTCCATTCAAAACCTGAGCAGTAGTTTGGCTCAGAGGAATAAATTTAGCAAACCCACACAGCCAGCTCAGGAGGCATGTTCACATGCAGGCTGTGGTTTGCAAACCTTGTGTGATTCCACGTGCTGGGTCCACGTGGGTCACAATATTCCTGCTAAAGTAACTGGTGAACAATGTCTTGTGTACATGTAGCTTTTATTCATTTCATCCCTGGCTGATACTGTTTATATTCAAATACGCCCAGATTTTAGTGCTGAGACAGAGTATCAGGCGGTATAACTACAATGTGCTAATGTGTCTTTCAGCTTGTAGACAAACTCTTCCTACCAGCATTATGATATAAACCAAAAGTGTAAACGTGCTCTGGTAGAAGTCAACAGCACTTTATGTTTCGACGAGAGTGTGAAGATTCTGAAGAAATGAAATTAACGTTCAAAAAACCCAGCAGTTTCTTCTACCCATTAATTCTATCCAGAAGGGCTGTTTTGGGGTTTGGTGGATTTTTGGTTTTTTGTTGTTGTTTCTGGAAGTGGTTTTTTGGTTGGTTGGTTGATTTTTAGTGGGAACCAGTTCTCTTCCATATAAAGGTTCTAAATTCTTGTTTTGAACAAGAATGTTTTAAAATGTTTTAAACAGTGGCATTACATGGAGGACCCTTCTGCTTGTAAAATCACCATAATCCAGTGAATATTTTGCTTGTTTGTAAGTGTGGAAAAGTCTGGGAACTGAGGCCTTAGTTCCAGAACTTTCATTCAGATTTAAATATCTACCAATTTATTTAGTTCATCAAGTTGTGCACCAAGCTTCATTTAAAGCTCTCAATTTCAAATTCTTTTCTAATCGAGAAACCCAAAAGATCTGAGTGGAAAAGGCTGTTCTGTTTGTGCTGGGGTGTGACAAGTGAGAAACCCAAAAGAGGAGGCTAAAAAAAGGCTGTTCACTTTTTCTAGGGTGTCACAAGGTCAGTGGACTGTGAAAATCAAATTTTGAGGCATCAATAAGTTTGGATGAGGAGATAGGAGCAACTCCACATGCTTAGGTTTTGTTTTAACTGTTCATCTAGAGCATTAATGTCTCTGGTTTGTCTGTGTTTATTGTGAAACTTTCTTCTCACAAATTTGAAAGGAAATCACCAAAAGTTCTCAAAATTATAAGCTCACACAATTAGAACACGAAAGAGAATTTTTCTAAAGAACTGTTAAGGCAGGACAAATTATCAGAGAATTATAAATTCTACAGTATTGTAAGATGAGGCTGTCACAGACAGTCTGGTCTGAGTATCAGAAAATAAATATTTGCTGATACATTGTCAATTAAATATTTCTTTTAATTGTCAGTGACTTCATAAATTCTGAGACACCAGAGCATCTTTTTGAAATAATATCTGGACTTCATTACTAACATATTGTACACCACCAACCCCTATTATTGGGATTTTTTTTGTGTGAAAATGCAGATGTGATTTTAGGGAATATGTCACACCCAAGGTTTTCCAATTCCGGTCCTTCATATCTGATCTGAGCACGGGTGTCCTGCTGGGCTCAGCTCTTCTCACCAGCTCAGCCATTAGCACAAAACTTTTCAATATTCTTTGCTTCCCCAAAACACACCTGACACTGGCTCTGATGCATCAAAAAAGGCAAAGCAAACTGTATCTTCTGTAGCAAAATCAAGATTTGCGTGGAGGGAGTGAGTCTGGAACTGGGAAATGAGCAACAAAGAAACAGCTCTGATGGAACTTCTTGAATTCCCTTTTTTCCTCCCCTCCTTTGTTTAGAAGACCTTGAAGAGCTCCATGTGTCTCATGGTTAGCAACCTTTGAACCTCCAGCTTAAATACATAGCAGAGAGCTCATAGCAAAATCAAATCATTCATTTTTTCACCATAAAATATTAGAAGAAGCCCATTTCTCTTACTCAGTATTGACTTAAGGAGATTAATGCTCCTCATTTAGTAACCTCCATGAAATTATGGAATCTATTCAGGCGAATTGGAAACTTTTTCAAGGCCTAATCCACAKGAGCTGAGGAAAGCTATTGAACACTGAATCACAAGTTCCAGACTGATTTATCTTGAACACCCACCTAAAGCAAAAACATATGAAAATAATTTCAAATCCTAGCTGCTGTGGACATAACTGACTTTTTTTTTTTTCCTTTAAGTTAAAATCAACTGTTAAGCAGTGAACAGTTAAGTCACACTTCAAAGGTAATACTTGCAAGAAAGWTTAACCTTTGTGTGGCTGCTGTCAGTCAAAGAATTTATGCATGAATTCTTTTGAACATCCCCCAGACAATCTTCTTGTATTGTATCATTTTGCTTGAGCAGTCATGACAACAACATYATTTTGGAATATTCTTCTTTTTCTSTCAGTAYRCTCCAATAAACAGATCTCTGACCAATCACTTGTAAATCATTTGCCTGATATTTCCTATGAGATTTCACTGCAAAACAGCTAAAATATTTTTAAATATTAAAGTAGTTTGACTTTACTTACGGCACTCTGAGTTTTGGAAATTTCTGAATATCATTTTCAGACATGTTCTGGAAAAGAAATACATGGGATAGATCATAAAATTGTTCATGAACACCCTGTGACTAACCCGAGTAAGTCATTTATATATATTCAAAAATGTACCATGAATTCATGTGGTATTTAAGTGACTTCAGAAGTCAGGTATATTAAATTCCTTCATGTCTGCTTAGTGAAATTAGGCCAGACTGCATGATTGCAAAATTTCAGGGTAAAATTGTAGATTTGAAGATAGAGAACCTTTGGCTGGAGTTTTGTTCTGAGAACCTTATCTGTAATAATCACAGTACGTGTAAAATCCCATTTCTAATGGACACATAGCTTGAAAAGTCCTTGGAATTAAAAACAGCCTTGGCACCCAAAAAAAAATCTTTCTGGAAACAGGGATGGGGGAGATTGTCTGTTCCCCCCTGAACCAAAATACAGCAACTGGACCAAGATTATTCCTGACTGAGATGTGCTGCCTGCAGAGCTTTCCTGATGTTCATCCCTTTTCTTCCTCCAGCACGTGCAAATCCACAGTTAGGACAGATTTGGGCATTATGAAAACTTGGGATTTAGTTGATTCAGTGTTTTGTTTAGTTAATCACAAATTTCATGAATTTTCTTTGGAACATGGATGATAATCTGGTTATTTTTGTCTTTTTTTTTTTTTTTTTTACTGACAACAGTAATAGGTTTCTAATTACACATTGGCTCACAAAGCTGTCAATGTCAATGTTCAGGACAGAACAAATCCTATCTGTGTTTTTCCAAACTATTTTGCCTCTGGGAGGAGTGAAAATACAGGAAAAATGTACTGCTTTTATGGAAATGTCCAGCAGTACTTCCTGAAGAATCGTATTTTTTCTAAAGGTCTTTTATGCTTCTCTCTGAAGTTCTATTCTGGTGACAAACGTTAGAGGTATAAATTCTTTCACAAGGGCCACAATTCTGCTTTAAATAACAGAGAAATTTATTAGAATAAGTTACATGGAACCCCTTGCTTTTATTCCTCCTACATCTCAACTGGGCTTTCCTTGTAGCCAGTCACAGAAAGGTGATTTTGCAACTGGAATGTTACTCTGAATTACAGCAACATTTTTACAGCCAGGTTTATGACGGAGATCTGACAATTTTTTTCTGGATTGCTTTGTACTCTGGAATATTCTACTGGAATTCTCCTTCTGTGGCTCTGTGTAACGAGTGAACCTTTTTCTTTTTTGCATTATACAATTGACAAGMAATTCAAAAGCTCAAAAAGAAAGTCTGAGCAGAGGTGAGCAGCTGCTTGGCTTGCTCAGTAGAAAACATCCTTTGAACTGGCTGGGATTCCTCTGAAGAGCTGCTGCACTATGTAATTACAGAAACACTGTGGAAATAGTAGAAAATCACAAAAATCATTTAGAAATCACACAATTATTGCACTTTTTATTTGCACCTCACAAACTCCCATAATTTCATTATGTTTCCAGAGCCAGAACTCCCACTCCAGCCACAGATCCTTATTGCTTGAGCTAAGGAGGATCTCTTAGGGGTTGTTAGGATAAATCCCATGATACACATCTGAATAATGCTGACCCTACCCTCCATGAGGAGGGAGGGATTGTATCTTCCTCCTACAAAAGGGGTTTGAAAATTTTAATGTTGCATTTCAATGAAATGTCAAAAAGCTGGATATTATTGCTGGTTATATTATTATTCAAGTAAATGAAAAATAAGAAACTTGAGAAGAGGTATGCAGAGATWTTCCCACTATGACTAATTAAACAGAAGAGCAAAATTACTACTTCTGGGGAAAATACAATGGTTAATATTTGAAAATAAAATGCAGTATTACTGAAAGCTCTTACACATCTTCATGGATGTGTMTTTAAGACCTGCAAACAGCAGCTCTGTCAGTGGAAGTTATCAGCTTTTCTAAAATTAGGCCAAGTCTGGAACAATGTTGATTTAAAGCCACTGGACTTTGCTTACTAGTTTTGATGCTCTTAAATTTTATGCATTTTGTGTATTGTTACGGAAGAAATCTAATTTTATCTATAGAGGAATGAAGAAGTTATTATAATAAAAGGCCTGACATTGTGACCAGGGCTGTGTCTCCTTCAGTATGAGAGGATAGTTAGGAAATGTGGGGTTTCTGTAGTTAAWATCTGAAAACAAAAACTATAAAGGCAGAGATTAATTCAAGAGGTTATGGTTTTAGAGCTTCCCTGTCAGTGCTAAAAATACTAAAAATATCCATATTAAACAACATTCTTGGGCTCCCAGCATTCCATATTTAAAGCAAGTTGTCTGGCTGATTTTAGCAAAAGCTGTTACCTCCCATATTTATAGCCCAGCAACCACCTGAGAGGTGGCTCCTCATCTGCCAGTGCAAAATAAGRAGGAGTCAAAACCATCACTTGATTGGAATTTTACAGGAAGGAATTTTACAACCCCACTTACCAAAAACCTTTGTCCATTTATGCTGTGCTTCCTCACAACTTTCTCACAGTCCTTATACTTTAGCTGTCAATGAGAAGAAGGTGATTATTGTACCCTTAATTAGAAGAATCAATGAAGACACTTAAACATGTGGCTGGTTTTGAGTAGATGCTTTCAAGATACCCTTTTGTATGCTACGACCTAAATGGTTCATTTCATTCCATAAACACAAATTTTTATGACAGAGGTTCTTCAACTGACTTGGAGGTTTTCATCCATTTAGGAACACRTAATTCCTAACATTTACAATCCACCTTGCAGTTGCCTGGCACAAAGAAGTATTTGAAAAAGGGATTGTTGTGGTACAGACTGGGGTGAGCAGCTGCAGAAGCAGAGCAAAAACCTTGCTATCCAGGAATACTAAAACTGACTGATCCCAGGCACAGAATTCATTGTTGTGATCAAAAAGCTTTCTCTTCTAGATGGAAATATCACTTGTAAATCCTGAAATTATCTATAATATTTGTAATGCTTTTCTACAATATTGTTTCCCAGTAGCATTTAGGACAAGGATATGTTCTTTTGAAGTCTCTCATGAAGCAAGATGTGACTTTTAAACATTTCCACATGTCCTAAGTTGCTTTGGTTTTTATTTAATTTGAACATTAATAGCATAATGTAAGAACACAATTTCTATTTTTGATCTGGCTAGAATGCATTTTTCTGTTTCAAGTTGGTCAGRTCCATATGAGAAGGAACCCAGAGAGCAGGTAGATAAAGTGATTTTTTAAGGCTTTGAGACAAAAGAATGACTCTTGTTTGGCCTGACACTTCAGTTGGTAAAAGTTATGGTGACAAATGACCTTGGGCTGCTGGGACAGCTCCCCTAAAGCAGAGAACACCCTACAGGGASCATGATGTCCTTCTGTAGTTCCATCCCATATTTTCATTTTAAGGAGTAATCTTGTAACTTGGTGTAYGTGAGAACAGATCCTGAAAACAACTGAAGAGCAGAGAGGATGTTTTTAGGAGCCATYTTCAGTTACTCATATGCAGGGCTAACTCTGGTAAATATTTTAGGATACARATTAAAACTTTTGTGCAGACTGAGRACTTAAACCTGTAAATAATTTCTTTCTTACAATGAGTGCAATCCTGATGTTACCAGCACAAGTCTGTTTGCARAGGGAAACAACACATCACTGTGACTGAGACGTAATCTCATTCTTAGAGCAATTGATGAAAAATACTGTTTAGCTATTAAAAAATAGCCCTTGAAATATCCCAAATATGAACATCTTTGATTTTTCTAAACAAAAGGAAAATAGTAAAATACTTTGGCAATTATTTGAAAATTTGGGCCTTCATTGATTCATTCATTCTCAGAGTTTATCTGGGGTCAAGATCTGGTCACTTGTGATGGGTGCCCAGAGTGGGCTGACTTGGGCTGACGTTATTGTCTTACACGGATTTTTTAGATGACTTAAACAGCTTTTGCCCTGATTCAGCTCCCCAAAAGTGGAATGTCATTATTCTGGAGGGTGTCTTGATCAGCAGAAGGGAGGCACTACAGATAAATGTGCATTCAGTTAYGGTAGAACTTACAGTTAATCCTTTCAGCACTGTTCAGAATATCATTATCAGATCTTTCAGAAAGCCGTTTTTCCCTTCTTAATTTCTTGGAAATGGTGGTCCAACTTCCCCCTGCACTGCTGTTGTAATGTTACTTGTTGATAATGATCTGAAGTTACTTGTTGATAATGATCTCATCTGTTCCATCTCCAGTTTTTGGTTTCACTTTCCTGTGCCACCAACCCCTGCACCCTGCAATTAGGGGCTTGTGAGTAGTTGGCAGTTTCACTTCTCTGGAGATTTGGTAGGCACAGACTCTCTGTGTGATCTGATCATCTGTATTAGCTAGTTTTGCATTCAACTATCAAACTTGCCTCAATTCCCCRAATAAAATTCTTGTAGAGTTACAGRAGCCATTGAAAAAAATAAACTTCACATCATTTCAAAGTTAAGCCCAAGGTGTTCCAGGTTTTACAAGCCTGGCCATGAATGTGATTAACAAAGACATTCAGAGGCTCAATGGTGGCACCGAGCAATTTGGAAAGAAATATCACTTCTGAAAAAGTGATATTTCATTGAAGATGAAACAGAAAACTTCACACCTTAGTGCCTTCTGYAGCTGTTAATGTGTGTTACACCAATAAGTGTGGTAGTAATGTGTTGATTTCCTCTAAAAAGCCATGAGTTTCTCTTATACCCAATTCCAAAATCCCTTTCAAGATTCATTTTCACCGCCCAGTTTAGCTCAGTTTCCCATCTGACAGTGGTTTTGCTTTTAGCTCTGCAGCGCTTTGCCCTTTATAAAACACCTAAATTTAGCCCAACCACTGTTCCAGCAGTTTGCTCCTCCATCAGACGAAGACAAAACACAGCCAAACTCACCGTCCTGAAATAGTCTGCTAAGTCATCTGGGCTCCAGCTGAGCACGTCGGAGCGGTAGGGAATGTTCCTCAGGTCCATGTCTTCTCCTCCAGGCACTCAGGGAGTGTTCATAGCAGTGCTGTCGAKGACACAGCCATGTATTCTCTCAGTGTGGACACTTCCAAGGAATTCCTTGCCCAACACCCAGCTGCTTCTGTCCAAGAACTGCTCTTTTCAGTTCAGAACTACGTTGTGAGGACCTTGCAGAGAGACTCTGCTTCCTCTGCTACAAAATGGTCTCTTCTCAGAAATGTTTCAGCTAGTCAGCCTTACCACTTCCTTTCTCTGAATATAAATAAGTAAACAAGGAAGCACACAGAGTGTTGAAAATGCTCTGCCTGCTGTGTATAATTAAGCTCCTATGGATCCTATTTGCTTGTAAATGCACACATGAATATTTACGTATTTACTCACATTGTGCAGCATTAAAATATTGTCATATTATCTGCATAGACATGGGTTATTCTTCTGTGCAAGTCTAGCCCAGTTTAGCCCCACAAAGAAGAAAACATTCACTTAAGAGAAATTTCTTCAATTTACCTCAGTACTTGAAATATTATTTGTACAATAACAGGTAATTGCTAGAGCTGCACATAAGGAGGAACAAATGACTTAGCAATGGAATTACAGTCAGCATTCYTTCAAATAAAGAATCATTTGGTGAAACTAAAAAATGTGTAAGTTCAGATGAAAAATTATTACATTGTCATTGTATCAAAGCTTCATTTTTCGGCTACTTCTTATGAGGATTTTTATATCTGAAAAAGAATCCACAAAACCATAATATTACACCAGGRACATGATAGACTTTCATCTGCCCTCCACAACCAATTCAGGTGCCTTCCTATCAGTAGGTGCCTTTGGTGAGATTGCATWGAGTAATTCCAAGTGTGTCTGTTTTTCAGAACAGCCAGCATGTCCATTCTCCCTTTCCCTGTTGTGGAGCTTCCTCCCAAAGCACTGTTGGTGTGAATCCTTGGGCTCATTCCTCCATTAGACTGCACAAAAGGTGGTAATTTCTGACCTTCCTGTATTAGTAAGAATAGGAGCATAGTTCTGAAGTACTGGAAAGTTTATCTCCCTTTAATAAAGGAATGAAATGSATCCCTCTTGTTTCCAGATGTTGATGACCTCCTAACCTCGTGTCTGCAATCTGCGGGTGTGTTGAATAGGAGTTCATGTATTTGAGATCAGACCTACAAGTCTTCCTAATATTGGATAGAAGAGCTTTCCTTTTGAAATTCAGAGTCTGATTTTGAGTCGCTTACTTTTTTTCTGGAAAAATTCTGGTGAATGATGGCAGCATGATATTTAAAACTCTCTGAAATTAAACTGCTGCCACAGCTGTTCTAAGCARTGGAGCATTCATCAAATACATGCTGTAGCTGTGTTTTCTGGGTTCTTACTWGAAATTACCTGTGTGAATCATCTGAGGCATGGCCTGACAGTATCACAGAAATATCATCATCTCTAGGTTTGGGGATGAAATGAAATATCATCGCCTCTAGTTTTGGTGACAAAGAATCCTCCAGGGAAAAGCTGCTTTGCTGGTGCAYTGTCAGCAGTGACAAAGGGGAGATTACATAACTTTATCAGACATCCCTGTATTTCACAGGCAAACAAGCAGGGAGACAGGAAGAAGCCTGTGCTAARAGTTCTAATTGCTCATTCTAATACGTGTTTCATTACCTACCTAATCTGCTTTCTATCCTAAACCCAGCGTAGCAGATCTAATTGCATTTGTGTTACACCTTATTTGTACTAACATTGAAMTAATTAGTCTGGTCAAAATTCGTGCTGGTGATGTTTTAGGATAATTAATCATTYTGATGCTAAGAAAGGAGGAAAGCAGTTACCTTCAAAGTGGATCTCCCAGTCTCGAGCTGCTAACACAGAAATTCTAACGTGTACCCAGTAATTATGATTTGCTCACATCCTGTCTGTGGTGCTGTGAGTGCATCATAGCGACGTGCAGATCTCATGTATTTCTTGCAAACCCAGCTGCACATGAGCTCCCTCTTTCTCTACAACTCCTTTTGTAACGTGGCAAACACGTCGGATGTGGTGCCCCAGTGAGGCTTGCTGAGGAAACACCACTTTGTATTTTCTACATTTGAACTTTCAAATATACTCCCAGATCAGTTAGCAATCCCATGAGATGGRTTTTAAGATCTTAGATTTTCAAATGCTGAAAAACATTGCCTTTGCTGCTRTTATCAGGTGCATACCTTTTCACTGAGACACTTCTTTTCCTCTTTTTAAAGAACTAGGTGTTTTCATAGGTATTTTATAGCCTGTGGTGACACATCCTTCACATAAAAAAAAGTGTCTCTGCAATAAGAGCTGCCAATGGTAAGTTCTTTCTGATGCAGTGATGGTCTGGTGACTGATGTTTGAAAATGTGAGGCTCAAACCATTTTAGGCAACGCAGGGGGCAAATTCACACTGCCTACATTCTGCTGCCTTCAAAGAGCAGCAAMGTTTTCCATTTTCTCTCACCTCCCTCTGGTGGTCTTCTGTCCCCATTTTAAGAGRAGTCAAGGGCTTACTTTGAACCAGTTTCAGAAAGGTTTATTTTTCTATAATAACTCAGGTCCATATCCCTAGAGCCAAACAAAAGTTTAAACCATGTAAGAATTTAGTCTTCATGTTCATCTCAGTCCCAAGGCAAAGTGGATCTTTATGACACGGTTTTCCTCGGGKTAGATTCTTCCTTTTACCCTGGAAATAGTTACCCTAAACAGCCTACAGTTCCCCTTTTAACATGGCCTAATTCCCAGGCTGTATTGCCTCCCTAGAACTGTGAGAGACTGAAATGTCAGCAGTAATGACTCAAAGGATGGGACATTTGCTGCTTTGCTGAGGCCACCTTTGCACCCCCAAACCCAATGGGAGGAGGAGGTGTTTTGGGTGTGTGGTGGCAAAATCTCTGTAAGAACGGCCCTGTGCGACCGGGTTCACAGGCACCACGGGAGGATGAGCACAACAAACTGATCTTTGCTTAGCAACAAGCTGGGTTTAGAGCCAGAGAAGGGAAGCAGACCCTGCAAGGGGGGATAATGCTTTTTACCACATCAGTGTCCTTTTCACACCAGGTTCAGGTGTAAAACACCCCCTTGGGAAAGTATCAGGATATTCACGTTCACACCTAGGCCAGCTTGAAAAAGCAATTTGTAGGAATGGAACTTTGAGATTTCCTCCCCACACAGTGGCAGAATCACAGCCCACATTGGTGATGCTGGGTGCAAGAGGAGGGATGGATGGACACTGAATACAACACTTTAATGGGGACAGCAGCCAAGGTAGATGCTAACCAACCTACCTGCCTCTGACTTGAATAAAACCGTCTGAGATACTGCCTTCAAATCCAATTTCACACAAAATAAACAAAAAAAAGTGTACTCTATCTGAATTCAACCCTCTGCCAAAATTTTCCTGGATGGAAAAAAAAAATTTGAGTACTTGAAGAAGCATCTTTTCCATTGTTAGTGAATTGTGTTATTCTGAGAAGGTATCAAGATGGAGTTCAGGCAATTGTGAAAGGCCTGAAATCCTAAAATACAGCCACTGTAGAGTGCAGCTGGACWCTATTCAGAAACCAAAGAGAATTAAATATCTACTAAAGTGCTGTGAAAAATAAGGCAAGTACTGAGAGATATTCTAGCAAGAGCACTTTGCTCAGGTACGTTTTGTTCCACTCTGGGTTGGAAGAGGCATAATGTGTCTGGTTTGTCCAGAGGTGCTGCAAACAAATGCAGAGAACACTCAGGAGACCTCAGCAGAGCTGTCTACTGAGGAAAGACTGAAAAAAAACTTTGCTAAGTCTGAGAAAGGGAAGTTGGAGACGAGGGAAGGAAAAAAGGAAATAAACTTTGTGACTCTGATAGCAGTCAGTTGTTCTCATGACCTGTGAAGGGCTCTGCTAACAAGAAAAGCTGCTGCAAGTTTTGAGAAGGAGCTGGGGAATGAAGAACTCTSCTCCAGAATTTGGGCTGCTCAGTGCAGTTCAGCAGCTCAGTTCAGAAACTGCCAAACAGGGTGAGCTGTGCTTGACACAGAAACGGCCAAAAGCACAAGCAGAAAGGATGTTTGGGTTTGGATATGACCCTTCTGTACTAACAGAGTCTCAGGTACAGAACTGCGAACACAGCGGTTTTGTAACCGAGTTGCCAGTTTGATGGAGACATTGGAGCTCAAGGTAAAGATGAGGAAAGTTAAAAACACACCCTGAAGGGTTAACTGCTCAAACCATTTCCACCTGTGCTGGCAAAAAGCTGATTTCCTCCCCCAGCTCCAGGCCAGACTGCTGCCAAACCTTGGCTCTGCAAGGCTCCAGGGATCCCCAAGGCTCTTTTCCCCCAGCCCAGCTCCCTTTGCCATAACAGCTCCTGCTCTGGCTCCCAGCTGATCCCTGACCCTCCTGTCCCCTCTGCACCACTGCAGGAYTGGGCTGTGCTGGGGAACCTGCCAGCTCTACTGCAAATCAGCATCGCTGGGAGCTGCTATTCTGGATGGAGCTGGAGCCTGAGGTATTCCCATTCAGTGCCTCCATAACAGGCTTTCTATTTGTTTTGCCTTCTTTAGGTTTTGGGACRAGTAGTTTAGTTTTTTGGGGGATWTTTTTTGTTTTTGTACAGGTTTATYAAAAAAACCAAAACGCCAAAACTGTTCTCTTTCAGCAAACTGACAGAACAAAAATTACAATTTCTGTTTCATTTTTTTTAACAGCAATATTTCAAGTCTATACAGTTATTCTGACAGCTAAAGATAGGATGATTATTTTAACTCAACCCATTTTGCTGTTTTTATCAAATGAACTATTAACTCCCATAAGCAGCTTATGGGCTCTGACATTCCGTTTTTAAGTAATCTCCTTCTATTCATAAAGGCAGTTGTTTTCTAACCTAAACAATGCTAACTCTATAGAACTTGCAGAGTTTATACTGCAAACTGGTTGACAACTCAGGATTTTGGTCTTTCTTGCAACATTCCTGTCCATACACAAACTTAGAACTGGATTCTGATCTGGACAGATTTCCAATTCTCTAAATATCTCAACAGCTGACTGACCAGTAAGAAAAGCACTTGTGATTTTGCAATGCAGTGAAAAAAAAAAAAGAAAAAAACTTCACAGCTTTTACACATACTCATTTCAGACATTCTCAGGAAAAGATTTAGTCGATCCTGAAAGTTTTCAAGAGTGAATTTCACAGATCAGWCAATACTAACCAACATCGTCTTGGGTATAGTTTTGGTTTTAATGTTAGTTTTGTTTTCAATATTTATGCTCCTCTCTATGACTGGCYTAGAGTTTCCAAGGAGCTGCATTCTTGAACATCCCATGCTTTTCAACTTTTCACTGTTATGTTTAAAATACAGTGTATTAATAAGAGGCATTTTTTTCTTATAAGCAAGCATTTTGCATATATTTTAAATTGTACTCATGTAGTGTACCATGAGTGGACTTAAGAGCATTCTTTTTATCCCCTGGYTCATTATGAAGAAGGAGCTCATTATGAATGAAGGAAGGTCAGCACAGGGCATAAGTAACTGTGCATTGGAGCAGTCCYRCATCTGTCAGGTCTCTCCTCTGAGATGTGGATCAAAGCAACAGCAGAGTAGGATCTCACCTTKATCTCACCTTCCCATTCATGTAATAGAATACCTGCAACTGTTTTCCAAATAAATGTCAGAGGATTAAAATGGATAAAAATATATTAATGTWTTTCTCTTTTATCTCCAGCCAACGAATAAAATTTGAGATTGTGTTGGAGTGAAGATTCGGTCTCATTTTGCCATCTGGTGGTAACACTTTGGCTTGCTGAGATGCATTTCAGGAAACTAAGCTGATGTTAGATAGAGGTGGGTATGAGTTACTGGTTTCYTGGAATAGTCAGTTATTTTTCTACTCAAGATGCTAAAAAGCCTAATTGCATTTTATATCAGCAGTGCACAAATACGCACATTCCTAAAATGAATTTCCATTTGAAGTTAGTTGGGTGAGCAGAGCCTGTTTCAGTAGTCCAGTGTGCTTCCTAGTATCTTTTCAATCTGGATCACAAATGATTGTTTTCCTTGTGGATGTGAATCATTAATTTTTCTTTCAATTTGCTCCTGGATTTTTACCAAGATGGTGATATAGCCAAACAGTTTATTGTTAGAAAGATAGAGGACAACTCGAGACAGGCTGGCTGGAGAAGCCATTTTTTTTCTTCCTAAGGAGAAAAGRCAAAACTTTTGAACTTTTTATTATTATAATTTTCAACTTACATTTCTCTGGTATGATTTTTGTGCGTGCGTGTGTCTGTGCTGCAAGGTTTATAGTTTAATTTTTTTTCCTCTTCCCACAGCTCTGTGAGACACTTGTCATTGCGTGGACCTGCAAGATCTGATGGTGCTGCTTTGGGACCGTATGGAATGAGTGACGGTGTTGTGGAGGGTTTGGAATTTTCTTTGAAGTCCATTGGAGTAATGCTGCATTCCTGTGCTAAAAGCGATAATGGCTGCTCCGAATTGCCCCGGACAGCGGGAGTCACCAGGGTACTGGGTAACAGAGGTGAACAGACACACAATGAGAGGTTTAGAACCAATGGTTTAGAACCATTCAGTCACAGCGGAAAGCAGGTATGTAGCCGCTCTGGTTATTATCTACTGTAATGCAACAATATAAAAGCACAGGAATAATACTGAAGAAACTGTAAAAGGAAGAAAGCGGAAAGAAGGGTAAGAGGGCATCACACGTGATTGCTTTTAAGGGATGGCGAGGCCAGACAACGCGAGAGCAAGCAAGGCCAAGCCCTCGACGGGGAGGGCAGGTGGTGCCGACGGGTCTGTCCGGGGAGGAGCGGGGCGAGGGACGGGTTATTAGGGATTTTTTGTCCCCGGCACGGACGGTGGGAAGGGCAGGAAGGGCGGGAGCAGCACGACCAGGAGGAATGGAGGCGATGGACGAGGTGGGCACTGTCGGGGCGGCCCAGCCCTGGGGTGGCGGGGGAGCCCCGGTTCGGGCACGGCTCACCTCGGGGAGCCCTTTTTGGGGAACAGGAGCCCCCATTCCGGTGCGGACACGGCTCACCTCGGGCAGCCCTTTTTGGGGAACAGGAGCCCCTAGTCCAGGTGCGAGCACGGCTCACCTCGGGGAGCCCTTTCCCCGGCCCAGAGCCCCGGGCTGGAGCGCAGGCAGAGCGGAGCCGCTCTCCCGGAGCCATCCCCAGCGCGGAGCCGCGCACCCTGCGCCGCTCTCCGGGCTCGGCGGGGCCGGGGCTCCGCGGGACTCGGTCCGCACCGGGGGCTGTGCCAGCAGAGCTGGATCCTGCCTCTCCCCACAGCCCAGGCACACCCCGGGCCGGTTCCCTGGGCTGAGGGGAGAGGCAGGATGCATCCCAGGAGCCACAGGGCCGGACCACGAGGCTCTGAGGAGGGAGTGGGGGTGGACTTTTATCCCSCTTTCAGCACGCATTTCCCCGGTCCGGGTCTCCATCTTCATCCAAAGGTGGGATTTCGTCTTCAGGAAAGATGAAAGCCGTTGGAAAAGAGGTGCCATCATGTGGCGGCATTCACTATTAGCTGGTGATSGTTTAGCTCAATCCTTTCTCATTGAGGTGTCTGATAAGAGCCATTGGCCCATTCTAATGCTGATAATGGAGGTCGTAAGAGTAATTTTACCATAACAGATTGCTCTCCTTGCAAAGCTGCTAAATGTTCCCGKTAAAGGAAGGTGGAGCACCTAATTCAGGGTTTGCAGAGTGCTCGGCCATAGTGATTGCGTAGTTGCGTAGTTCAGTGGTGTGTGGCTTCGGGTTCCTTTTCAATAGGCCATTAACCCTTTCTRTGCTTCCATTTGACTGAGGCTAACACGGGTTGTGGAAAACCCATTGAATTCTACCTTTTCGGCCCATTGTACCTATGTATATGGAAAATGTGAGCTTGTTCCACTGCTCAGACTAGAGATAMAAGTCCCTTTTCCCATTCAGAATATCTGTGTTCTGTCTCTTGGAATGCAGTCGAACTAAACACCCTTTGGTCAGGGCCAATTTGAAGCAGGTTGCAGGAAAACCCCATCCTGCTATAAGGAGGATCGTGGGGTGTACTGGTCCTCTTGGAAGTTATACAACTTTTACATTTTTTTTACTAACTTTACCTTTGCTCAGGGAGAGGGGAATTGCAATTTTTGTAGTTCTTAAAAATAATGCTTGATCATATAACTTCCCACCTCTGTTTTCTGGGTGGATGACMTGTAAATCCTATGTCCTGGGAATGGTCAGTTAGTCTGACATCACACGTAGTGTTCTTGGTATCACTACTACAAAAATCACTCCATCCCACATCTCGCCCATATTTATGAAGTCATGCATTACTGTTGCACAGGTGAGGATTTCCCCATGTTCTAAAGTGGCAGCAACACTCCTGGACAATTGTGCAGTAAAGGCCATGTCTTTTTTAATTTAATTTTGTTTTGTAACAGGGTAGCATTTGGCCAATCTTCAGGACATGTAATTAGTTTTCTAATGTGCAGTGTCAGGAGGATTTGGAGGCCACACAAGCATTACCTCAATGTTTTCCTCACACTTTTGTTTCCCTYTGTGTTCCTCCTGTAACTGTCTCTGCAGCCATTCTGTTTTCAGAGGCAGTAGYAGCTCAGCTCCTTTCCTTCTTTTCAGTTCAGTTGTCAATTCTTGTTTCTCTTTAATATTGTCWTTTCTATACTGGCAGGAAACCTTCCACTATCCCAGGGTGCTCCAAGCCCCATCCAACCTGGCCTGGGACACTTCCAGGGATGGAGCAGCCACAGCTTCTCTGGGCAACCTATGCCAGTGCCTYACCACCCTCACAGGGATGRTTTTCTTCCCAATATCCAATATAACCCGCTGTCTTTTCACTTTTAAGCAGTTGTGATGCAATGGGTCACCTCGGCTCTGTGCTCCAGCCCCCTCTTCCAGCACCAAGCAGCTGCTGCTTGTTTTTTGGCTTTCCAAGCCCTTGCAGAGCTTTAGGGAACTGTTGGCTACTTTGTGCTCTAACAAAGTTGCTGGACATGGTCATGTAGAGCAGGCTTGGACAGTCCTTGCGATGGGAGTGTTGGCAGGCTGCTCAGGTTTCCTGAGAGCACAGGAGCTCGTTTGCTCCACCATATGCTGGCTGGCAGAGGGTCTTGCAGTTCCCTCATGGGGTTGGGGTGCTCCCAGTTGGGAGGCTGGAAGCTCTTTGCTCAATCAGCACCATCATCTCTTTCCTCAGACACGGCCCAACAGGATCAACAGGGCCAGTAAGATGTCACTGCTTGCCTGGGAGCAGGAGACGGGCATCAGACTGGTGCAGGTCAACGGGCAGAGGCGCTACGGAGGGCCCCCCCCAGGTACGGCAGGAGAGCAGGACCCGGGGGTGCAGGGGGGCTACCACGGCCACCATGTCCCCGTGTCCCCATGGAAGGGTGGGTGTGGGGCCCTGGGAGCGTGGCAGGGCTCACCATGTCCCCGTGTCCCCATGGAATGGGTGGGTGTGGGGCTCTGGGAGCACAGTGGGGCTCACCATGTCCCCGTATCCCCATGGAATGGGTGGGTGTGGGGCTCTGGGAGCGTGGCAGGGCTCACCATGTCCCTGTGTCCCCATGGAATGGGTGGGTGTGGGGCTCTGGGAGCATGGCAGGGCTCACCATGTCCCCGTGTCCCCATGGAATGGGTGGGTGTGGGGCTCTGGGAGCACAGTGGGGCTCACCATGTCCCCGTGTCCCCATGGAAGGGTGGGTGTGGGGCTCTGGGAGCACAGTGGGGTTCACCATGTCCCCGTGTCCCCATGGAATGGGTGGGTGTGGGGCTCTGGGAGCACAGTGGGGCTCACCATGTCCCCATGTCCCCATGGAATGGGTGGGTGTGGGGCTCTGGGAGCACAGTGGGGCTCACCATGTCCCTGTGTCCCCATGGAATGGGTGGGTGTGGAGCTCACCATGTCCCCGTGTCCCCACAGGCTGGGTGGGTGACCCGCCACCGGCCAGCACCGAGGTGTTCATCGGGAGGCTGCCGCAGGACGTGTACGAGGACACCCTGATCCCGCTGTTCGGGAGCGTGGGGAGGCTCTACGAGTTCCGCCTCATGATGACCTTCAGCGGCCTCAATCGGGGCTTTGCCTATGCCAGGTACAGCTCGGAGCTGGAGGCCAGCAAGGCCATCAGCACCTTCCACCACTTCCAGGTGCGCAGGGGCTGCACCATCAAGGTGTGCTGGAGCACKCAGAAGTGCGAGCTCGTCATGGATGGCCTGGCTGCCTCGACGAGCCAGCAGAAGCTGGAGGCCGTGCTGCAGACAGTCACTGAGGGCATCTTCTGCGTCACCCTGCACRCCAGCCTCTTCCAGAGAGGGGCCAAGCTGGCTGTGCTCAAGTACAGGTCGCACAAAGCTGCTGCCATGGCCAAGAAAACCCTGATGGAAGGTGAGTGAGTGCTGCTGAGGTGTGCTGCTTGGGATGGTCTTCCTGGTGTCTCCCACCTCCAGGCTTGGCTGCAAGGTGACTTCAGCCTTGAGACACCCCTTGCTCTCTCCCTGTCCTGTGGGATGCCAGCTGGCCTTGGTGCAGTTGATCTCCGCAGTCCTGGTGGGTGGTGGGACAAAGGGGCTGCTGAAAGTCTCCAGGAAGCTGCCTGCTCAGAGCAGGAGCATCACCAGTACCAGTTCAGGGTATTCAGATTATTGACCAAGTTGTTAAACCTTCCCAGTGGAGCTGCCCAACTCCTCATTGTCCCTTAAACCCTCCCAGTGGAGCTGCCCAACCCCACAGTGTCCCTTAAACCCTCCCAGTGGAGCTGCCCAACCCCACAGTGTCCCTTGAACTCTCCTGATGCAGCCACTCAGCCCTTCTGAACCTTATCCCATGATTGTAATGCCCAGATGGAAAACATTCCCAGACATCCASCTGGGACCTCCAAAATCTTAGTTTGTATCCATTTCTGCCCCTGAGAA